AAAGACCTGGATCAAGGTGTACAGGGCCATAGCGTCCCGAAAGAAGAGGCCGACCCCGTCGCACATCGTGTGGCTGTCGCTGTACACGTAGTGGACCAGGTAGCTCAGGGCCTCGTGCCACACAACCAAGAACAGCCACACGGATATCTCCTTTTCCCACCAGCTTCCTGGGTCTTCCCCTAGTGTCCGTCGCCGGTGCCACCGTAGACGGGTCGTCTCCACCAGGTAGAAAATGATCTCCAACAAGGCGCAAGACATCAAGAAATAACAGCCCAGCCGAACCCACCACCTGAAATCTGCGGCCAGGCGCAGCCGGAGCACGAGGTCAGGGAAGAAGAAACGAAAGCGGGTCAGACCACGCTTGAGCTCCTTGTCGTGCAATTGGCAGTCTTCATCTTGGCCCGTGGCAAGCTGACACGTCGCAAGCTGGATGAAGCGGCCGACGCGGGTCGCAGAGAGAGTTTTCGCTTTCGCCAACGCGGCAGTGCATTGTTGAAAGGCCTTGCAATCGCAACGGGTCATGCTCCGCCAATTGCCCCAATGCGACCCGGGAGCCGTGGCGGCGACCAAGGCAAAGCCATTGTCTTCCATATTCGTGAAGGAACCAAAACCTTTGACTGTCACGCTTAACACCAACGCAACACCGAATGCAATGAAAACGTTTTTCCAAGGCCACCACCATGATTTTCCAGCGTTCATCGCCGTGGTTGGGGTGACGACGCGAGGAGGTTTTGTGGGAGGGGGAGACGTCGCGCCCGGGTGCTGTGAATCGGTGTTGAAGCCCGCCATGGACTGAGCATGAGAGGTGGTTGAGGAGGGCAGATCCACCGCTTCATCACTACCCGCAGCAACATTAATTGGCGGGGTCGAAGAGGATGTTTGATGGGCGGCCTCCATGTCAGAGGTTCGTCTCCGAGTAAAGCGCTTCATCCCACCCTCAACTCCGCTGTTATCACGACGCTCCGGGATTCTGTCGGTACCAAGGGCAGATAAAAGTAATTAAATACGTCCATCAGCCGAACATAATTCTGGCCTGCGACGGCGATTTTTTGCAAACCATCGAAAAGCACATAAGACTTTATATCCCCGCATCATCTTGGCTCCCTTTTCGCGCAATTTTTTAAATCTTGGGTTCCCTGGACCGTTGAATTTTGATTTTTTTAACACGACACGTGCATACAGTCCGCCAGAGGTTGTAAAGATGGGTTTACCTGGGCTACGGAGATCATGTTGCGTGCTTCAAATTAGAAGCATAAAAATAAGATACAATGTCCGGTTGCTCAAATCTTGACATCATTACATCTAGCTCACATAAAGTGTGGAATTGAAACGTTCAGCCCCGAGTAAGGGGATCCGTGCATTGAAAAATTGAAGTGCGTCGAGTACCGACGATTTTCATCGAAAATTCACATCTTACTGAATGAAAATATTGGCATTCACATCTTTGCTTCAGTGAAATACCTCATGAGCACCTCTGTCGTATCTATCTCCCCTAAATGCCTTCCTAGAGTTCTTCAGCTTATGGAGGGAGAGCGTCCATGACGTCTTCAACATAGGTCCCGCTGTACAATAAACCCCACCATTAAACCTGCTTTGTGCGGTTTCCTCATCCATTCGAACCTCTAATGGATAAAGAAGGAAGCAGCAGTTATTGCAGCACGCCCTGTTGGCGACCACGTCTTCCTAGCTTGCAAAAGTTGTCTTCGTCATATTCTTCCCGGGCCGCCACTCCCACCGGATCGGGATGCTTTTCGCCGCAAGCACAGTTTCGGTTCATCGATGAGATTGGGTCTGGGAGCTTTGGGTCGGTGTATTTGGCCATTGAGCGTCCAGAATACCGGCGGGTCGGGACCCCTGTCCGGCCGTCTGCCCCGTCACCCCTCTGGCTTCG